TAGGGAACTCAACCCCTATCCCAGCCAAACTCACTTTCTCCCCTTCGCCCGGGGAGAAAGTTCCGAGCCGCAAAACAGCTGATCCGCGCTGTTTTGACGGCTTTGACGCAGTCCTGGGCTGGAGGCTAAGGAAAAAGCCTCCTTCGGCGGCGCCTCGCCACAGGAAGCTCCAAGATACATTTTTTAAAATTATGCATTAAAAATACTTTTAGTTCCAGCTTTAGTTTGGATGAATTCACAAACCATTGAATTAATCTGTTTTGTATTATTATATTTAGTGAACAGGACAGCCACCTTAAATGTTTTATGTTTAAAGCTAAACAATAGTTAGGCTGGTATAAAACAGGCAAATAGATCCAACTTGAAAATTAATCTTACGTGCTGTATACTTAAGGGATAACTAATTTTGAAGTCTTCTGTTGTTACATAAAACAATACAATGCTTTGGTAATATAATAATAGCTATGTTCTTTTGTAGGCAATACTTATGGATCAAAACTGTCATTTTAAAACCAAAATGTATACCCAGAACAGCATACAGCCACATCCATTAGGTGGTGATGATGATGAAGAATTGGAGAGTGATGAATAATATTTAAAAGCTGGTATTGGTAGTTCAATGATCCAGTAGACTTTTCCTGTGAAACATCTCATCAGAAAGTTTTAATTGTACTGCTCTTTTAATTGTGAACTTGTAAAACAAAATGAAACCAAAGGTATAGTTATTTATTGCCCTTGATCAAAGGTATAGTCATTTATTGCCCACTGCCTTATGAAAAAAGATATTAGAAGATTGTTAAAACTTGGTGTTTAACATTATGCATTTTGTAAATGTATACATCTCCATCTAGATCCAATATTAGTTCAAACATTTCCCTTAATATTATACATTTTCATTTAATTCATTGCAGCAATGAGTGCCTGAAACTAGCAATTATAAATTATCAGATTGTCTATTTAAAAATATTTATATAATACTTTGCACTTTTCAAGTTCACTTCAAACTATTCTTACACTTAACCTAATTCAACCTAATGATGTAGAGTGAATGAAACTTTATATGGCTAATAGAGAATCAATTTCATTGCACACTATGTGGCATTTGGGAAAGAGAAGTTTGATATAAAGTATTTAATTGGGTCATCTTAATTTTGCATTGCTACTACCGTGTTTCCCCGAAAGTAAGACCCGATCTTACTTACTTTGGGGCTCTGAAGTAAGCACTAGGATTTACTTTCGGGGAGGGCTTACTTTTTGCTGGTACCAGTAGGCCGCGAGTGGGCGGGGTGGGGCGGGACCTATGCATGGGGTGGAGAAGCAATGTGGTGAGAGCGTGGTGGCCGACGAGGTGTGGTACCGGTGTGGGTGGGCAGGGCTGGTGCCCTTCTTGTGCCAGGCCAGATCCTGCAGGCCTGGAGTGTCCATGCTGCGCGGTGGCAGGAAGGGCGCCGAGGTGGGGGCGGTCAGACGGACCAAAGCAGCAGATGGAGTGCTGGAGGCTTGGGGATGGAGGGTGGTGAAGCGGGAGGGCGTCCTGCTGTCAGCACCCATGCCGGCTGCCCCTTCTCTATAGAGATGGAGAGCTTGCCACACCACCGCCCAGACGCCCTTGCTTCCCCCAGGAATTGCATTTCTTTCCTTACCTGACTTCCAGCCCTATCCCATTTCTCCTTCATAATCTGCCCCCACCGCGTGCAGGGAAATAAAAGAAGTTTGTGGGGGGGGGAAAGGTCAATCAATTCCAACTTCTTGCGGAAAAAAAAGATCTTGCGAAGTTGGAATTGATTGATTGACCTTCCCCGCCCCACAAACTTCTTTTGTTTCCCTGCACGCCGCGGCGGCAGATTGTGAAGGATAAATGGGACGGGGCTGGAAGTCAGGTAAGGAAAGAAATGCAATTCTTGGGGGAAGTGAGGGCATCTGGGCAATGGTGTGGCAAGCTCTCCAGCTCCATGGGGAAGGGGCAGCTGGCATGGGTGCTGACTGCAGGGTGCCCTCCTGCTTCACCACCCTCCCTCCCTGAGCCTCTGATGCTCCACCTGCCACTTTGGTCAACCTTTCCCCCCACCTCAGCGCCCTTTCCGCCGCCACCCAGCATGGCCGCCCTAGGGCTGCGCTCAGAGCCTCCAGGAGCTGCAGGGATCCACGTGTGCCCTTTTTGTGCCATTTTTTGTGCTGCATTTGTGCACATTTGCGGCTCTGTTTTTGGCGGCACTTTGGGGGGAATGGTCTATCCCCATTCGCAGCGTGGCTGCCGTCCAATTGCCGTGCCACCTCTCAGGAGGGGAGCATTAGCTGCCAATGCAGTGTCAGGGAGGATGGAAGGCAATCCCGCCTACTAGATCAGGCTGGCAGGGGTGGGGTGGGGTGGGAAACAGAGCGGTGTGAAAAGCAGTGCTCGGAGCCTCCAGGAGCTGCAGGGATCTGCACACACCCTTTGCAATATGCACACGCCCTCCTGCAATATGCAGCCTCTCCCTGTAAGCAAGCCAGTTCGCCCAGGGTCAGGTTGGCCGTTGTGGGAGGCTCATACAGCATGTGCGGTGGAGCTGGAGGATGAGGACAGGCCACACCTCCTGCAATGGCCAACCTGACCCTGGACGAGTCGGATTGCTTCAGCTGCGAGGAGCCTGGCCTAAGGTTTCCATCACCCAGGCTTCCTGAACCTGATGGGAACTGCAGCCCGCCGCAGCTGAACAGTTTAGCCAAGCCGCAAAATTGAACTTGCAGCAGTGGCACCGGCAGCAGGTGAGGCGGGAGGAGGCAAGCAATCCTGCCTGCCAAAAAACCTATGGTAGGACAGAGTAGGCGTGGTCTTAAGTAGGGCTTACTTTTAGGGGTAGGGCTTATATTAGCCCGAACCCCCCAAAGTAAGCTAGGTCGTATTTTACGGCTAGGTCGTATTTTTGGGGAAACACGGTATTAACATTACACTGAAGAGTTTTTTTAATCTCATCTAACTTGTTCAAATTATGTGTCTTATCACCATATAAACATTGTCTACTGCATTATCTAAATATATAAACTTCAGATAGCTTTGCAATAGCTTCAGATGACCATTCATCACATTCAAAATTGTACAGAAAGAAAAAGTTAAGCTACAGGATTCCTGCTTTTGTAAATTTGAACTATAGTGTGTACGAGGTTGAGACAAGCCCCAGATCCCAAGTTGAAATATGATAATTCAGAAAAGATGTTTTATTTCCCTGGGATGGAGAGTCAAGCCTTGATCTTTTATCTGGAGTTTCAACATGCTGCAAACGATGATGCAAGAGGCATTTTTGTCATTTACATGAAAGGAACTGTTGCTCCCATGATCCTGGACCGCAGGGCACAATTATAGCGTCCGGAAGTCTGAAGAAGTACCTTTAGTTGTATTACATACTCTATGAGCTGTGTCTCATTGTTATTCAGTCTTTCATCCTAGGCTGCTGCATGGTTTATGGTTAATATTTTCTTCATGTCAAGTACCTGACCTAGCCAATTTCCAATCAATGAACCTCTCTCTATAAAAAGAAAATTATTTACAAGAAGCCCTTTGATTTACATTCCCTACCTATTCAAAATTCAATTTGGATGATTCTTTCCAAGGAAGCTACTGATGCTACAAATTCAAACATGTCACAAAACAGCATCCAGTACTGGGACATTTTAAAATAAGAAGTTAAATTTTCAAGGAACATATACCAAAATCTTTATACCAATTTCTGTAAAGTTTGGCATGCTTTATCTCTTCATGAAGTGTTTAGTTTTTCTGCTAATGTTTTCCCATTTAATGAAAAACAAGACTGATAACTAATTCAGTTTTTCCCATGTTAGTCTAGAGTTGTATTTTACCCCAAATCTTGCTTCATATCCAAAGATCAAAATGGAATGGCTATAGCGGATCAGTCTGTTTTCCAAATTAAGATGAATCTGCATGCTTCATTGTTAATCTCTGCATATTTCTTGATAAAACTATTCTAATGCGTGCCTATTTAAACTAGAAGCAAAACTATCAGCACTTCAACTCCCAAGAGACCTGCTTTGTAAAAATGCTACCTGATTATTCAAAAGGAAAACCAGGCAGATATAGTCCCTAGTAGACTTGTACTAATGTAAAGTATCTGGCAGACACTTCATGTTAAAGTTTTATTTTTCTAGAGTTTAGTTTGTTTTTGCAAATTACAAAAGTATAAGACATAACTGCTTTTTAATGTTGTCAGACTTTTAGGTGTCTGCACAAAATGAAATACCAAGTCTATTCACAGACTTTGTTTGTAACTATCCTTTGGACATCAGCAGATGGAAATGGATTAACACCTTTACTTGAGTGAGTCTGTGATATATTGTGCTTTTGAAGAATATGCAAAGCAGGATTAGAGATTTCAGGACTGATTAGTTTGACAAATGGGAGGCAGGTAACATTCTGGTTCTTAATACATAATGGTCTATATTGCAACCTATTGACTCCTGTAACAGTGTTCTCTCAGTGTTGACATGAGTCTGTGGATTATGGCCTTAGTTGTGAAAATAAAAAAAATCAAGAAATATAAGACCATGTAAGTATCAAACATTTATGTAGTGTTGTATACATAACACCGTTTGTAAACTTGATCTCTGTGCCTTTTCTAATGTATCAGCAAATGGTTTGTATTTAAAACAGATACTTTATATAGTTTTGTAAAATGTGTTTGTGTCATTTCCATGTATAAAACATATATTTTGGTCAAGTTTTGGAAATGCTTTAGATGAATTGTTATTGTTCTGTTATACAGAAAGTAAGAATGGAATGTTATTTTGTGAAAGAAATAAAAGGCAACAATGTGGTATTTCACTACTGTTAATGTGCCAATTAGTCCAGAAAGGTAAGACACCAAGTCTTCATCTCCTTTCCCCACTGCTATGACAGTTCTCAAAATGACTGTGCTGAATTTCAGAGAAAATGCTTTAAATCCACAGTTGGCCCCCGTGAACTATGGTGCAGTCTTTTCAAATTGTTCTATAAATTGAAGAGTAAACACCTGCCCTCAGGTAAGGATTAATTTTTTTAAAATCTTAGATGACAATTAAATAGATATCTCTGTGTCTATATATGTATAGGCAAGGGAAAGAACTGTATGGAAAGATAGGCACTTGATGATTCCCCTAATCTTTCACCCACTTGCAGAATTCTTCCTCTAAACTCAAACGTTGGGCAGATAGAGAGATGCTCTGTATCCACAACTCTTCAACAGACTACCTAAATTATGGGTACGAAGCTTTAAACAACACCACTGTGAAAAGATAAGAGTTTCAGACATCGTTATTCTCTCACTGTTGCCCTTCTTGCAATAAGACAATAAGTGGTGCTGGAGATTTCTGGATCAGAACATTCTGAGACAGATTTGAATTATTCAGTTTTCTTCCTCTTACTATAACAAACTAATAGGTTGAGGTGCTTTTGCAATTAATTTATTCTAATCCATTTTACTTTTGGCACATGGCTGTAAGAATCGAATCAAATCAAATCAAATCAACAAATTGTACTACATTTATTTTAGTAGTACCTTTATTACAGAGAAAAGTATTTATCTTAATCTGTATTTGGCTTCAATGCAGCACATTATTTCAAAAATAGTTACTTTGCATATCTAAATATATTGTGCTGAATTTACCAGTTCCTCTACAAAATTAATTTTTATTTATATTTATCTACTGATTATTGTTTTCCTTGTACATTATTCAAATAGATTGATTTTTCTGATGTTTTTTTTCATAATACTATATATATAGTATAGTATAGTATAGTATAGTATAGTATAGTATAGTATAGTATAGTATAGTATAGTATAGTATAGTATAGTATAGTATAGTATAGTATAGTGTATGTATATATATATATATATATATAGGTCTTTAGTTATTCGGGTTTTCTCCCGCATAGAATTAAAAGTACCTTGGCGACGTTTCGACGAAGTGCCACTTTAAACCCCTCCAATCCATACATGAAGCAAACTGACACCCACCATAAAGATGTGGCACGACCACGAACACGAAGCCAAACAACAGCAATGAAGCTCACCATCTCAAATCCCCCTGCAACTCAAACTAACCTGAGCACAACAAAGCCCCCACCCAAACAGAACACTCCCCCAGCCAATCAGAGCACAGCAAACCNAGAAACAGCTGCGATCACACACCACTCTTAGAAGCACAAAGCTGAAGACACCAGCCTGAAGATGACGAATGTGACTTCGTCGAAACGTCGCCAAGGTACTTTTAATTCTACGCGGGAGAAAACCCGAATAACTAAAGACCTACATACAAACACCCGCGAAAACCTCAGAAAACAAATATATATATATATATATATATATCTATATATATATATATATATATATATATATATATATATATATATATATATATATATATATATATATATATATATATATATATATATATATATATATATATATATATATATATATATATATATAAAATCACTCTAATAAGTGTATTTGGAAGTAACATGTTTTCAGATAATGGTTATGTTGAAAGTCATACTGATAATCTTAGAGGAGAATAACACGTTTTCATATTTAAGCATTCCGAACTGCTTCTATGAGATTTTGATATTGAATATAATCCATAGTACTATGATATTTGGTCTTAGATTGCTATAACCTCAAGGAGTTGCAGCACACAGTATGTTTAAGAATTCTGTTATTAGAAGTTTAATACGAAAACGATTATGAAAATACAAAAAAATCCTAGTGCATGCACTTTGTAAATAAATTTAATCTTCCCAAGATAGTTTTAATTTACGATTTTAATTTCCTCATATTTATCAAGAATTTCTCAATCAAAGAATAAGTACTTCACAACCTTAAATCTTCTGTTATAGAAAGTATTACAAAGGTAGAGAAGCTCCTTAGAAAATGCGCTATTAGAAAGTCAAATACCTATTGTATGTAACTGGGCAATCTCATTTTCTATTTGGTGCGTTAGCCTTTCCCAATGTAGAGGCCTGTGATTACAGACAAGGCTAGCTGACTCTGACAAGAATTGAAATCAAAAACATTGGGCAGGAATCAGGAGGGGAAAAAGTACATAAAAGATTCAATTGTGGGTGGGTAGGGTGAGTATGTTTCTAACTCTACCTAGGCTTAGGAAAGAATGTAGCATCATTACAGATAAACAGGCCTTTTGTCTTTCATCCATAACCCTTCCACGAAAGTTCTACTGAATAAAGAAACGTTGGAAGCCATTGTTCTAGAAAATAGCATATCATGGAATAAATAAACCTTTAGTTATGTGCCAAAATACTCTTTAAATATGTAACAGCTTATAACAAAGAAACAGAATTTATTTAAAAACTTTTATTAAAGCTTGTTTTCATGATAAAATCATCTGACAATCATCTCAGGCAGATTTCCATAAATATATGTTAGTGTCAAGTAATAACATACCACCACATCAAGATAGTCTTGCATCCAGTGGTATTTATTATTTTCAGCTGTGTATAGTAAAGCAGAGAAGCAAAAGATATAAAAGGAATGTATCAATAGTTCTTCTTAAAAACAGTATTTATTATAATTCTATGCTTTATATGTTTTCCTTGATGCTACCATACTATTATTTTGCTGCCATTCTCACGCAACGGTTAGAATATTGCACTATATTTAACTTACATTATACAATCATCATAGTGGAGTACTGATACTCAACTTTTCATGCCTCTTTCATAAACAGGTAACTATTATATGATGTTAGCTTAGTAAACCTAATATCTGCAGTATTTCTGTCATTGTAATCTGATCTGCAAGTTAATATCTGGACAGAAACTAAAGGGAAAATGTCCTAGTTTATGCAAACTTTTGTTAAGCTGATGATTTTTGAAAGATAATATTCCTTAAATATAACGTTGATTGAATATTATTGGTTCATTTGGGAAAATACCTAAAATTGTTTTACCTTTTTAAAAAAATATGGATTATGTCAATTTGGCAGCTGTTCTGTTGAACTATTTTACTTTTTTATTGTAAGGACAAGTTGTAAAGTTAAAAATGTTAGGACGTTCACTCCCATTATAATAGCAAAAAGTTTCTATGCAGTAGCATAAGTGGTTGCTTGTTAGTCAAGTAGGAGTAATGCAGAATGCTATCTTTTTATTTAGTTTTATAAAATTATTTCATACTACAATGCCAAAAATGATAAGCACATAATACAATGCCAAAAATGATAAGCACATAAAACATTAAGAAATATGGGTATGAAACATTAAGATAACCCTAACTAACAATCCTCATCTCAGATCAATTAATTTTTAGTGTTGCTGGGCTTAGGATTCAATGGGTGGGTGAGGGCTACAGGGGCAATCTTAAGTTGCTGAGCATTTCATTCTTATTTTTATTTTTTTGTCACCAGAACCATCGGAGAATAAATCAATTTAGTGTTAACTTTAAAATCCTTTTACATATTAATTCTTAATATTTAGATTCTTTGCAAAAAAATAAATCTGGTAAGGTTACCATTTAAATTTTAAATTTTCTCATGGGTGCTTAACATTATTACATTATAGAAGAGTATGTTCTATGAAGCTTCCATCTAGTTACAGGAACAAAGAAAAACCTGTGGCACATTCTCAATACATTTCTATAAAACATGTGTATAGGCAAAAAGTAATGCCTATGGGTGTTTTTGAATAGGGAAATTAGAACCTGATGACAGTTGTTTTCAGTGATATGTGCTTTAAAGGTCTTCCCTGCTAAAGATTCTAATAAATTCACAGAAGGAAAGAGTAAAATGTAAATTGCCTTTTCAAAAATTCAGACTTCTCTGTGAAAGAAAATCAGAGAAATCAGACACTGGAATACTAATGTTATCAAATAATTGGAAATAAAGGCATGTTATCGATAATGCATCATTGGCAAAAGAAAAACAAAAAACACCTGAAACTCACAATCCCCTTTCCAAAATATACTGAATAAGCAAATGGCAAGGTATAACAAAAATCTTCAAAACTGGCCCCCCGTCAGCAGCTGCTGCAGTAGTTCTAATTTGAACACAAAATAAAAATGCAAAGCTTTAAAACTGAATAATGAAACGAACAAAACAAAACCAAAAAAAACAACAACAAAAAACCGAGAACAGAAACTCTGCAAAGCAATTCAAAGGCAATTCAGGAAGTGTGTTGGTGTGAACAAAGGCCTTTTTCTTGAAACACAGAGGCAGCCCTGCTGTTTAGAAGACAACATTTCCATTGAGACTGCCAGAAAGTAAGCTGGGTGTGAACATGTCTGTGGAGATGACTTGAGAAAGCCCTCAAAAGAGGCGATTAGTCTCATGGAGGAAGTGGCTGCTTCACTCAATTCCAACAAAACATCTGTCTGAATGCTATTTTTTTTTTTTTTTTGCAATTCACCCTGATATATTTTAGAAATACATTTTAGAAAAAAGTTCAAATAAATTAAAAATCATCTAGTATAAAGTCCCAAAATGTTATTTAAACATAACATGGTTCAACCAAATAAAATCATATTGTACCTGGAAATAAAAGCCATTCCCTTACATGGGTTTGAAAATAATGGAGAAGCAGCTTGTATATATTATCTCAGTGTTTAATTACATTTTGAAGTATCTGATGTAGTTTAAGTGCAAAGTGTTTCCCAGTTTATCGTTTGCAAGACCAACTGTGCTATATCAGTCTACAGGTGCATTCTGGGATTCAAGTCTCTCTTCTTCTTTTAGTAGGGTTTCAAGTACTGGTGCCATTACTAAAGCAGCCTCATCTTCATTATCTGTTTCTTCCACTAAGTTGTTGTCCTCTTCATCTTTATCCTCTTTTCTAGATCCAGGTTCTAAAGCAGTATTTTCTAAAGCTTCTATATCTTCAATGCCAGCTTTATAATGAATCGTAAGGAGTGTCAGGGCTTGCAACCTCTCGCCTGATTTAGCCAACGCAGCAGCCAAGAGCCTTTTTTTCCTTGCATCTGTTGCTTCTTTCTTTTCTCTAATTAAGGAATTGTTGCTCTCCAGTTCCTGGTCTATTTCATATTGAAGTTTTTCCAACATAATTTCTAACTTCTGGATTCTTTCTTCTGTAGGTAAACTTCTATAAAGGTCTCGGCCAATTTCTTTCACTGCAATGAAAACACTATCATCCAGTCCTCCGTCCTTCCTTGGTAACTTAATCCCTGGAGTGGTTACTTGCTTGGAAGGGCTACTAGGGCCACCAGTTTCTGTATCACTACCTTCATTATCAGAAGGATGTGGGGTCTGCTTTGGCGAAGGTTCTATCACTTCAGGTCCTTGCTCATTAATACGAACTTTAGGAACTTGACGAAGGTTTAAGAGTCGGCTGCTTGTATTAAGAAGGTGTCTTGTTAGACCTGTTGCTTTATTTGCAGTTTTCAATTCTGAATCAGCACGAGATCCTGGTGTGGACTGAGAATCTTGGTTTTCAAATTTAAAAGGGTGTAAAACTCGTTCAAGTCGTCTTGTGGCTCCTAAACAGAAGGGAGCGTCAGTCAGACACTTTTCTTGACATTTTTTGTGGCAAACATATGCACAAACCACACACTGGGATGCTGCTTTTGTCCAAACTTTCTTTTTGCAGTAGTCACACCAAGTTGGATTTTGAAACTGAGTATCTTGGAAATTATGCCTATTTTCAGCATAAGTAATTTGTCCAAAGTAAGGATCATCTTTTGAAAAAACAGGAGCTGCTGCTTCTTCTGAAATATTTTCTTTCTCTTTTTCCAACAGAAAACTTGAGTCTTCAGGTTCACCCTCTTTTAAATATTTAAAATGTATAGTGACATCACCATAACAAAACTTTTCATTGAAACCTTTGTGTGAGATCAAACTACGCAATGCTGTTCTAGTTACTGCAGCCTTAGGTGCAGGAGGATTTAGTCGAAATAGCCTAATGAATTCCATGGAGGATGTAGCTATACAATCTAAAGCTACATCTTCAAGTTTTACACTTTCATATCCCAAACAAACCAGCCCACCTACTTTGAAAGGGTCTCTACACCAAATACCAATATTTAGGTATGTATGTTCTTTTCCTACTTCAAATATGTAGGAAGAGCCTTTTGTCCTTGCCCATTTACCTGCTCGATTACGGTAAGGAACTTCTGGTGATTCCCATGAATTATGGTTTTCTACTGCCTTAGCAGTCAGTGAACAATGTGAATTCTCTGATATGTCTTTATGTAGTTCTGATTTGCTTGTAACAGATTTAGTGATAGGTGCTTTAATATTCTGTTGAGATTCTGTACTTTCTTTTAATGTTTCTGATTTATTTGTAATTGTTTTTAAACTCTGTGAAATTTCTAAAGGCTCCTTAGCAACTGGTTTGGAGCCTGTAGATTCTTCTCCTAGATCAATAATTTTGATTATCTTTTCTGAATTCTTGTCTCCATTATTGGCAGGAAGAGGGAGCTTGTCCACTTTCTCAGAAGATAAATCGCCAGTTTCTAATTTATTTTGAACTTCACTAGAAACTGCTGACACTTTAATCTGTGGTCTGGGAGGTACAGGTGGTTTGGTTATATTTAACTGTGGCTGTTTGCTTGCCTGCTGACTTAAATCCAGGTTTTCAGGACTTTTGTGTACTGCTTGTTTGGATGTCTCTTTGAAAAGTACCCTTGAAGATGCCTGATGACTTCCTAGATGTAACTTGCGATTTAACACTGGAGATAGAGTTGCAGGTGGTTTACCAGCAAGTGAAACTGGTATGTGCTTGGGACTGCTTGAAGAATCATCTTTGAATTCACTTGATGTTAGTGCATTTGCCAGGTCTTCAAATTCTATATCTAATTCTTTGTTATCTATTTCATTCAGCAAATATTCATCTGAAAATGTTGACTCTTCCAACTGCGAAATATTATCTTGGGTTAATGAAGTCTGCTGACTATAGCCAACTGGTCTCTCATAATATATGGTGACTCTTTCACCAGCCTGTTTGATAAGTTTTAATACTTGTACTGTTGATGTAATCCTGACTCCTATTAAAAAACAGAAAACAATAATGATTAATATTTTCTGAAGCAACTTATAAATACCTAAATCAAGAATGCTACCCGGTCAAGAAGAAGCCATGCAGCCCTTTCCCCTTCCATACAGAAATTGGGACTGTCCTATGAATTTATTCCTCAACAACATTATTAATACATGTAGTAATGTAAAAAACAAGTAGAGCAATGACCATCTGCATTATAACAACAAAAATCCTATTTAGATTAAGACTGTTGATGGAGGGAGAGCCAGTATTGATGTAGTGGTTAAGGCTACAACTGGTACAACTGGTACAAACTAGGAAAGGAAGAAGCAGGGAGATCCATGCTGAAGTCTTCCCTCCAACCCCAGAGATCACAGGCTGACTCTGGACAGTCACTCTCTCCTTACCCCATTTTATCTCCCAAGGTGACAGTCACTCTCTCCTTACCCCATTTTATCTCCCAAGAGAAAAGGACAGATAAGAATGCAACACATACATAAAATGTATCATTCTTTAAAAAAACAACACAGTATTAACACAAAACAACACTGTTCAACAGATAATAAAGATTTAGGGAATTAAAACTTCACATGTACTATTCTCTACACAAACATCACATATAGTTAACTCTTCTGTACCAAGAAAAATCGTACATAAATAGTGACCCAGGCACTCAATTGTTTGTATCTCTTCTACTGAATGAAAACCATTTCCTCAGCAGCTGCCAAGGTTGATACCAAATACTGACGTGAGTTTTTTCTGAAATATTTATGTCTTTTCATTCTCCAAATACAATGCCCCTTCAGTGTTGAAAAAAATATATCTAAAAGCATAACAAGTATTTTTATTCTAAAAACTACACTAAAACATCATTATAGTATGCATCTGAAAACAAGTTATGATATTGTTTTATTAGGGCACTATTGCCCTCAATATAATAAAACTGTTTACGATTTTGCTTGACTAATAAAGGATGGATGAAACTTTTTAATACATTTCCCAATAATATCATTTGTTATACCTTCTGAGCAGTTCCCAAGTTAGCAAATGTTATTTAGCTTAGTTCATGTAGTGCATACCTCCAATAGATAATAGCCTGTCGCCCCTCTGAAGATCAGCAGCAGCAGCAGCAGAGTTTGGTGTAACCGTTTCAATAACAACGTGACCTGTTTCTCCTTCCTTAGCCTGTATTTGACGCAGAGTGAGCCCAATACTTGGTGAATTTCCTTTTATGAGTTCTGCCTGTGGGGGAAAAATGGAAAATAATTTTCATTGTTAATATTAGGATCTATAATTCATAACATTAAATGTTTTTCTGCTAGCATCTTGTGCAAAATTGTAGTTGAGAGAGATAAAGGTGTATATCATATAACAGTGGTGGCGAACCTATGCCACGTGTGCCAGAGGCGGCACTCAGAGCCCTCTCTGTGGGCACGCGCACCGTTGCCCCAGCAGAGTTTGCCAGAGTAGCGAGCACGTGGCGTTTGGAAGTGATAGGGCAGGAAGTGAGCGAGCAAGTGGCATTGGCCCCCCGGGGATGCCCTGGAGATAGCGAGGGACTGGCCTCGGCCATGCTCACCCAGTATGCTGTGACCACTGCAGCCACGCCCACCCAGTGGGCCATCCCCCCTCCGAGGGCACCACAATGCTGATGCAGCCCAGGCACTTTGCGATAAATAAGTGGGTTTTGGGTTGCAGTTTGGGCACTCGGCCTCTAAAAGATTCGCCATCACTGTCATATAAGTACTATGTTTTAAGGCAGTGTTTCTCAACCTTGACAATTTTAAGGCATGTGGACTTCAACTCCCAGAATTCCACAGCCAGCAATGCCTTAAAATTGTCAAGGTTGAGAAACACTGCTTTAAGGGGAAATGGGTTTATAAAACACAGTATATTTCACAGGTCAATACTAATTATTTCAAACAGAATATTTATTATACTTTATATCTTATTATTCAAATAGTGCTTAAAATGATCTTTTCTACCCAAATTGGATATTATTAATACAATACGTTTTCAAAAATTATTTGAAGAATAATCTGTAATTTACAGCATTACTCCCATTTAGCAAGAAGAAATGTAATTCGTGACATCAACTAAACTAATTCATAATAAAAGAAACCGGAATTAAGAAAATTCTACAACCTTTATATTTTCATTTCCAAGTCAAGCTGTTTTCTTATTCCAAAATTATTTACTTTCTTTGATATAAAAGAAAGCATTTTTAATATGTCAATATGTTTTATAAATGCAACCTCAAATTGGGAAAAGTTAATACTGTTAGCTAAATAGCTGGCCTATAGGATAATTTTATGTTATATTATTTATTTGTTGTTTGTTCACACCACCTTCATTCATATTTATTACATCTTTTCCTTTTCGCTAAGTTCCACAGGCATAAAGCATATGAATTTTCTTTCTTTTCTGTATTAATATATGCTCTACTATTTACTTCTCTTACATTCCAAGTTCCAATTTTTTACATACCATGATGGATACCAGATGGTCCTGGAAAAAATATATCAAGCTGCCCATTATGGTTTTGAGGAAAAGTGAGGGTTTCAAAAAATGCTTTTTAGCAAGAGAGAAACAGATCAGCTTATCAATCATAGATGATACTACTTTGCTGTTAACAATAAATATAGTAGTGGTCAGTTCTGGAACATTATGGCTAGTGTGCCACAAGTATAACTAAAACCCAGTTTGATCCCACATATACTCACACTACTCTATGCAAACAAGAAACTCTACTTTGGAGACAACCTTGTGAACCTACAAGCTGTTGGCCATTGGTAATTATAAGAAACATACAATATAATGATAGTTTCAGAATTCTCAAATCTTGGGAAATATTCTCTTCTTACAGTACTACCCTTCTGAAATCTTAATTATGCAATGAAACATTAATTCAGTTTTGCACTTTGAATCCAACTTAATGGCATCATCATTAAATTCTTTCACGCTATTTGTATCAAATTCCAGAAATTCTGAGTGTCAAGTTGTTCACATTTCTCGCAGTAAGAGATTTTGATTAATCTCACTTAATGAAGTTGCCATCACTTTTCTTCAAATATCACCGTTTTTTCCCCTGTGACTGCCCTACCTAAAACCAAGGTTCATTTGAAAACAGAGTTGTTGTCAGAAGTCCCTGCCACACCCCTGGCTCCAACAAGAAACAAGCCGTTGAGTTCACAGGTGGTTGGTTTATTCACGGAACGCTCTGGAATGCGGTATCCAAAGAAACAGCAAACAAAGTTAGCACTGGGAGCAATCGCTTTCCGGTGCTCTAAATACGTGTCTCCCGATTGGTCCCACCCCCCCACCCACCTAGCCAGCATCCGGCATGCGCACCGGTAAGAGCAGCCAGGCTGAAATGTGGGGCAAGCTTCTGGCTTTCCGCCGCTTCTTCGCGCTGGTCAGCTGTTTGGTGCGATGGCCGTGGAGCCAACGCCCATTTAGCTGTGCTCCGCAGGGTCCCCCTTCCAGCATCCAGGTAATGGGGAAGGGAAAGGGCTGTCGCTGCCGCCTCTGTTGCTGGCCCCGTCCACTGCCTCCGGATGCCTCCATCCAATGGTCTTGTCCCCTCCTCCTCCTCCCGTTAGTGGCAAGCCCACAGAGGCTTGACAGTTGTTACAACAAAAAAAGATATATCTTCACAACATACCACTTTCTTATTGATAACTACTTGCTCAGACCAGCTGTGTTTTGCTTGGAGCAGAACATTTCAAGCTTGAGACTGAATTGTTGTCCCTTAGAATATGTCTATTCTGATGATGATAAGTACTGCTACAAAGGGACATCTAAGACAGGCTTACTAATTTCTGTCTGCATACATATTCTGAAATAATGAATTCTGTTAATTTTAAACAAATCACAGCAGTTGGTTCAAGTCAACAGTGAATAAAAGGCATAAGTTAAAATAAATATAGAACATAGATTATTAACTTTACTAATAGCAGCTAAAATACACAATAATAGAAATCAGAAGTGCTATCAACTGATATCGTAAAATATGGGGATCAGTACTGCTTGTAAAACCATCTATTTGATTATCAATTCACTTGTCAACTATAAAAGATTTTTAAGTTTTATAAATTGTCTTGAAAGAGCAATGTCATTGAACACATGGAAAATTCTTTTTTTCTGAGAATTTCCAGAATCTTTTCCAGTTGGAAAACAGATGTTCAATATGAACGCTATATGTTTGCCTAACATTTTAGAAGCATTTATGTAAAATTCCAGTGTCAGAATCTGATTTAAATTTTAACAAATGGCCCTAATTTTCTCCTAATTATTTCAGCATACTTGTAATAACATACACTTGAACCTCCCAAAGCCCCTCCTTGGGTGATCTAGAAACATGAAATATAAATAAATAAAAACACAGAAATAATTAGTTTCTGTGGCTAGCAAGTAAACCTATCAGCAATTAGCACAAATTGCCCAGGTATTCCAAGTAAGCTACAATTACCAAACCAGAAAAGAGAAGACACAAACTGCAAAAGCAATATAAGAGGCTGTATGTATTAGGTTGGCTTTTTAAAAAGACCATAAGCCTTTTACACAATTCTGCAGCTCTTTCATCAAAGAGAACAATTTAGCCAGTGTGATTCCTGCTGAATATGTCTTATTCTCTTTGCTAATCTTTGCTAATTGTAGCAGGGATGCTATCTCAGACCTTGAAGAAAATTATTTTTACAATTTTCACCCTCCTTATATACAGTGATAGAAAACAAAATCCTCTAATTTGGCATTTGAACACAGAAAATTCTGAAAACTAAACTGACTTTTCAGATAGTAGATATAAATTACCGTAGATATAGTCTTTAAGGCAAAGCAAATTATCAAAAAATAGTTTTTTTATAATATTGCTCAAAGAACCTATTTTGTTATGAGGGGTATTTAAACATAATTTAATTTAATACAGCTAAGTGATTGTTATTTGTCTTTTAAATAGTTGAAATAGGGGTGGGCATGGACAGGGGGCACAGTTTTGTGCTGGTTCACCTCCTTCCTCTAAGGCGGGTCTGAATTGGTGAATAGGGAGAAAGAGGTCCAGTTCATGGCCTCTCTTTTATGGGGTGCCACAGGGCATGTTGCTCTCTCCACATCTTTTTAACATCTACATGAAACCTCTCAGTGAGAACATCTGTCATCATTAGATGGGGTATCACCAATATGGTGATGCTACCATCTCTGTCCCGGGTCAAGTGAGTGATGTCCTTTTGTGTTGCCTGGAGGCGGTGGGGATCTGGATGGGGAACAACAGACTTCAACTTTTTATTCTTAAATTAATTCTGACTTTAATGTTAATTTTATTGATTACATTGTACATCCAGAGCCCCTCTCTGAGGGATATGGGAAGTTAAGAAATAGGGAAAATATAAACAAACAAACAAATAATGTGATATTCAATTTAATGCTAATTGTAGCTCTAGACAATGAATTATGTATGTATGTATGTATGTATGTATGAATGAATGAATGAATGAATGAATGAATGAATGAATGAATGTAAATTGACACCAAGTCCTGTTTAGCATGAACCAAAATTCAGTTCATGTGAGGCTAGCATGTGCACAGTTGAGGTTACTAGGTTACTGTTGAAATATTTGATACTACTACAGTACTTGTTTATCTTTGTGTGTGCAAAATGGACAAAAGGAAGATCCCTCCAGATGAGAGCATTACAAGTTAAAAAAAAAAGAAGAGGCTTGTTATTGCATTAGAGCAAAACATTGATGTGAAGGAATAACACATTAACACGACATTTTCCTCATAAGAACAGATTGGATTGCAATTGCCATGGATGAGAATTAATTCTCTTTCTTCTACCATCAGTGTTTTCTTAACAGCATGGCTATTTGGGGGATTAAGTTTATGCACGGTAAAGATATACACTTTGCTATCAAGGAGAATTACCAAAACAACTTTCACTGTAGTTGATATAAAAGCAAAGCTGTGTTTTTAGAACTGTATCCATGTATCTCACTACATCTATTTGCACCATAGGAAGGTCATCTATTCCTCATTCTTTGTGGGGATTATGTTCCAGGTAAACAGTTGTAATTAACAAGACCATGAGAAAATTTATTTTATACATGAGCAAAAATCCATTTACCATTTACTTGGACAACAAGTCTAATCTATTTCAACTGGGGATACACAAAACCACTGACAATGAGGCTTTCAATAACAATGGCTATCTGTACTATAACAATTCAAGTGTAAGACTTTACCTT